ACACGTGCGTTTGTTTGCAGCGTTTGTGAGTCATGGAACTCAATGCCAGTGTATTTCACAGGAACCCGGATATCATAAATCATTTCCACAGTTCACAACAGTGTGCATACAATAACAAGCTTCTGTCGAAGCTTTGTAGTTAATTTACAACCCATGGTTAGCCCTTTTACATCCCACCATTGCGTTTGCTTATTTACTGCAATGATCCTAATCCCCCCCCCCCCCCCCTTTTTTTTTTATTAATGGAACAATGGGGATGCTATATCCTTTCTGGATCCTCATCGTAAAATTTTATTCTTGCAGCACTCTACTTCCCACCAGCAGAAATACAGTTCTGGCGGTGAGCAAGAACCCCCACCTGCTGATCAAACCCTGTGTTTGCAAAGGGTGGCCAATCAGAAGAAAGCTGGCTAAAAAAAAACAGCTAGGAGGGAGCTGCAACTTGACAGAGGATGAATTAAGGGACTGCTACAAGGCCCAGTATAAAATAAATCATGATTCTGAACTGCGAAGACGTTATTTTGATTTTCCTATCTAAAAGAAGCATGTAAGTCCTATTTCAGGTTCAGTGGTCAAACTTGAGACTTAACCACAGTGAGTCTGTCACCAGTAAATCTTCCCCTTCCCAACTAAATGTGTGCACCGTCTTCTGCTCTGTGATTACACCTTTGCTTTTGAATTATTGGCTCATTTCTCTCATTCCTTTGACTCAACATTTCCACCCACACCTGAATTTGTTATTGTGGTCACAACCTGAAGTCTGGTGGTAATAAAAAAAAAAAAAAAAACCAGTCATACACGCTCGCAAACAAGGTCCTGTCACGTGCAGTTATGTTTACACCATGTGTGGAAGGTTTCTTTTTAATGACAGTCCTGCCACAAAGACCCATTGTTTGATGCAAATACACATGCTCTATAATCTGATGATTAAAGCGCACTACCTGTAATTAAAAGCGCTGCTGGCCTTCCAAAAGAAATTTGGAAAGCATCAGGCTGCCCAGTGGTAACTGGCTGTGCGAACTTACCAGCACCACCCTGAAGAAGCTGTCAGTAGTGTGAAGATCTCTGTCTAAATAAATAAAAAAATCTGGGTAAATTCACAGATGATTAAACATGCAACTATTCTGCTGGTAATAACTGAAATGAGTAAAGAAAATCAACAGCCTATTTATGCAAGATAATTCATAATTTTATTGGGGGGTCATAACCCCCCTAACTCCCCCTGGAAATTACGCCCCTGCACGAAGTACAGAACTAAATTCTCTGTGTCTCGCTGACCAACTCTGTCTGGCGGGACGTGGCTATCACTTGGTAAATAGGTACTGCGATAGCTTGAGTGCATTTGCTTCTCTTATCTGTACCCTTGAAGACGTGTATGCAGTAATATAAAGGAGCAAATAAGATGGGAACAAACTGTAAAAACAGAACAAGCCAACCTTGAAACTGACCTGAGGCCTGCTGGAACTCTCGTATAAGTGGTTGCAGCTTTAAGGGGAGGTTCTAAGTGCTTCGGGTCATTCCAGAATCTGGGTAAATCCATATGGTAGCTGCGAGGTGTGAAACACAAATGAATACAACAATTTAGAACAACAAAAAAAGTAGTGTGAAATTTCTTTTACACACTCGGCTTTTGTGCATTAAAACATTTTCAGATTGAAATCAGCAATGGCTTCACTGAAACATATTCCAGAAAGCTGGAAACACTTATTACCCTTCTGTCTATCCATTTTCTTCTGCTTATTTAAGTCAGGGCTGTGGGAAGGAGCTGGAGCCTATCCCAGCTGCCGTGGGCTGAGACACTGGGTAGACTCTGAACAGGTCACCAGTCTGTCATAGGGCTAAGACATAGAAACACACAACCATTCACACCTATGGGAAATTTTAAATCACCAATTAACATAATTCCTCACAGAGAGGCTGCGGCCAGGTGATGGATTTGAACCCAGGACCTTTGGATTGTGAGACAATGCACCAGAATACTGCTCCACATACTCACCTCAAATATAAATATAAATATAAATGTTGCCAGGGTATTTGCCTTGATGCACAGTTATAATAATTATTTATCTTAATTAATAATATTAATTAAGGTTATAGTTTAAGCTAGGAATAACAGAAGTGCCCATATACTTTGGTGATAAAGTGAAAATCAGTTTTAAAGCATTTTTAAATGATGTACACTAGATGGCAGCAGTAGACACATTAAAAAGCATTGAGACAGTTGGAGTTGCAATTAAAAACTGGGAAGTTGCTGCTGTTGCAAGTATGTGATCTGTGCAGAAGTAACAGCAAAGAGTCATCGATATGTTACACAGGAATCATGGGTATAAATAATGAAATCGGCTTCATATCTTACAGTAGCTTACCCTTAAACAAAGTCTGTCCTGTCTCAGTCAGAGAGGCACATTAAAAGAAAACGTTTTCATGCAGTTTAGATGATTCTGAAGTGTGTCAACTGTGGGCTTCAAAACACTAGCATCTGCTGCAGTTCTCTGATATATGTGTACATGTTTAGACATCCTTGTGAGGACAGAAAATTGCAATGCTACTGTACTTGTGGGGACCAACAGTCACCTCTCCCCACGAGTTTGAAGGCATGTTTGAGGCTCAAACTGTGGTTTTAGTGTCAGGGTTACAATTAGGTTATAGTTAGATTTAGGCTAAGGGTTAGGGTTAGGCATTCATTTTTGATGGTTAGGGTAAGAGGCTGGGGAAGGCATTATGTCACTTAGATGTCCTCATTAAGACATGAACATGAGTGAGTGTGTATTTTATTATGGTTATGGTTTTTTACTTCAAGATTCATAAAAGATTTAGTGTCCTTTTATGAGTTTGCATAAAGGGACACTGCTGCTGCTAGACATAGTGAATGAGAACATTGTCATTGGGAGTGTGGTACATTCTAGTATTAGCATGTTACTCAAGAGTTCTCCCACTGGTATGGCTATAGACACATTACATAATTTATCCTAAAAAAAGAATATATATATATATATATATATATATATATAAATAAATAAAATAAAAAACAACTGTTCTTACAGTTTTCTCAGGATGGTAAAACGCTGTCCCATTTCACTTTGAGGAGTTTCTTTATCACGTTTATTGCCCAGGAGAAAGAAAACCTCATTCCTGCTTTGTCTTCACTTCTGTTCATTGCTCTGTCCCTCCGCTCCAGTGCCATGTGAGCTTTTTTCTGGCAGGAGGATTTGGCTCAAACCCGACATGTGCTTTCTCTTAAAGACTTTGTGCACACAGACTGAAAAAGGCATGGGAGGTTATCATATTACCTTGAGCACAGTGGACGCTCCAATCCATTTAATAAGCACTCAGGCTTTTAATTTCCACAGTCCTCATGTGAGTGTGTCAGAAACTGTGTTTGTAGTTACACAGGGCGGTTCTGTTTTGGTTATTACAAGGTTTGCTGGGATTATTCAGCAATGTGTGTTCCATCTTTCAACAGTCATCTTCCTAAAGCCTCGTTCCTGCATTACTTGTTGCCATGGCAACACGCAGAGACCCTGCAGTGAAAGATGAAGGATGATCGTTCGTCTGCTTTTGCGTGTATTCAAACACGTAAGTTTTGCACCCATTATAGCGTTTGAGAGTTGAGATTTGGTCTGCAGAAGATAGAAAGTGGAGTAGGTTACCTCCTTCTTGAGCTCGGCTGCCTTTCTCCTCTACCGTTTTGGCTCAGTGCACTCTCAGGGGGATGTGATGCAGGCTCTGTCTTCCTTCTCCCACACACAACAGCATTTGCTAAATAGCCTCATCAGAACAAGATGGTTGGAGGAAAAAATCTATGAAAAGAATAATAATGTAGGTCCACCTTCTTTTCTGTTTAGGTGTAACATGAAGAAACATGTGACCCAAATGCTGAGCTCAGTTGTTGCACAGATAGATCAGCTGAGCCCTGTTATTGATCCATATGCACAATTTAATAACAATAAAAACAGCATTATTAAGTATTATCAGGTTTATCTTTTTCACTATGTGCATTTTGTTCAAGCTGTCATCTCTCGACTCGAGCTGTTCAGTTTTAAAGTTACATCTATCAAGCGGATTCCTGTAAAGGGGCAGGATGACTTCTTGCTCCCAGAGTAGCTATCTTACCTAATCATGTGATCTGCAATATTGCTCTCACTTCCTTTTTCGGACTTGTTTTTATGGGATCAATTCAGTTATATTACGGGCAAGAGGCTGTACTTTGAGCATGCTCAAAATTAAATTGTAAGCACACTACCATTTTGCAGCAGCAGAGCCAAGGGGTGGCCATATACACCTTATAGAATGTCTTGTCACTGCACACAATCATCATGATTGGAATATGACTGAAATGATCCTATAAAAACCAGAACAAGGAAGTGAGTGATTAGGCAAGACAGCTGCTCTGGCAGCAAGAAATCGCAGGTGCATTAATAACACTGAATAACTTACAAGTTATTGTAAGCACATTGTAAGAACTTTGGATTGAAAGGTCGTCAGGCAGTGAGGAAGCGTGTGGTTTCACACATCACATCCAGTTTAAATAACTCTGAAAAGTGATTTCTGCCCAAGGCTTCATAAGGAGATATCACTAACCCTTTCATCAAGGTTCACCACTTATAACTTTTATACTGTCCCTGTTTCTACAGTTATTGTTCCCATCAATCCTCTTCCGCTTATCCTTATCAGGGTCACACACAACCAACAATTTAAACTGCCATTAAAGAATTTAGTGTTGCATTGAAAAAGTTATTATAGGAGTTCTCATGGTGTAGTCCTGCCCAAACAAGCAAGGAATAAAGATATTTTGGCCTACATGAGTTTGCCCCACATAAAATAAACGAATGTCATATCAGTTTCTGTAACACTCTAATTGGCTGTAGATGGAAGCAGATGAACATGTAGATGGAAGTTAGTGTGAATCTTTAGAAATAATCCCTCAAACCCACAAATGCCCTCTCTTTGTGGAGCTAACCCTTTCAAGTAAAATCAACCAAGAGAAAAACAAGACGATCCACTGTTGAGAAGGTAAACTTTATTGGACTTTTCACTTGATTGAAATGTACGAGCATGAAAGGGAAAAGACAGAGTACTCTATGAAAGGCACAGCCAGAGAGATGACTCCACCATTGTGTTTACACACCAGCAGCAGCAGCAGCAGCACACAATCCAAGGCGGGCACTTCATCACCACAAACATGTGCTTTTAACGTAGTTCAAAAAGGACGCTGTAATATTGTGCTCATTTTTGGGCGCTGTGTTAGAACAGCTGGAATTAATGCATTTTTATTTATATGCATTTGTGTGCGTTTGAGTGCGTTGTGTGTCATTATTGTGCTAAGGCGACTCCTTCACTCGGTGAGTGAGTTTCGAAGCTCCTTTCAAACTGTTTTTATTTTATTCACCAAGAGTGTACAGGCAAAAAAAGACACATCTGCCAGCCCCTGGCTCTGTGTTTCCCATGGTTGCTATGGTTTCAATAATTGAGTGACAAAAAAAGAGCAGTATTTACAGCAGACGCGTGTAAATCAGTAACATTCCTTCATCTGATGAGCATTGTGCGTTACACTTTGAACGAGAATAGGAGATGTAAGCAGCGTATAGAGGCAGCAGGACAATTAGCAGGAGAAGGTTAGATACTGCGAGTTATGGGTTATAGTATTCAACACGTTCATTTACACCAGTAGTTACCACAGATAGGCACAACTTATAACAATAACTGTCCTGACGGTTATCAGGTACGGCATGTGTAAAGTTTAACTGGGAGTGAAACAAATACTGTGCAATCACACTACAATGCATTCAGTTAACAGCAAGTCGTTGTAAATCCAAGCCTCCAGTACAAAGACCAGTAAGATGAGATCATTACTGAGAAATTTTTAAAAAACAACAAAAACAAAACACCTTTAGCACTTTGGTTCCTCTCGTCAGCGTCATTTTTCCGCCACCCATCCAGACAAATTCAGAACTGCGCACACGCACACAGGCACGCACACATATGCAAAAGAAAGAAAGAACTGCTACCTACACTAACTACCTCTAGTTTGAAGCATAGTGGAGAAGTCCAGCTGTGCTTTCTCAATATTCCCAGAGGGTGGCGCTCTCCAGGGAGTCTGCACTCGCCTTGAGCCCTCCAGCGTGATCCCCTTTGAGATACTTCCCCCTCAGAGTACGAATGGCCATCTTGTTGAGGTCACAGAACTCGAGCAGGAACTGGACAGGCGATGAGTCGCCGCACACAATGGCTGTGCCATCTCCAAAACACCAGTACTTCCCCTGGGAGTCTGGACAAACAACACACTTAATGAGGCTCGGCAGACACACAGTACACATATATAAGTATATCAATTTTATCAATTTAGTTTAGGAATTCAAGGAAAAGATATTTGACATCATTTTATTTAAATGTTTAAAATACTTTGGGATCAGAATTTGCTGGCCAACAATACAATACAAGATGAAAAATAATGCATCATACTGGCTCCCTGTCAAGCCTGAGTATGATGGTTCAAATGGGAGATGGCCCCGGGTGAGTGATCCATACAGCTATAATGGCTTTCCCATTAGATGCTTAAATATTGACTTTCCCTTAAGCAGGGTGGGGTTGAAGAGGGTTGGGTTGTGGAGAACACTATTTTAAACACCATGGCAAACATCACCACATTCATTAGAAAATCAAATCAAAGCCACGAGACAAGAAAATAGAAGCATTGTTTATTGAACGATCTGAATGTGATACAGGCTCTTTTGCTACAGAGGTTTCAGTCAGCTTCTTTGTCTCATTCTAGCACAACTGCTGTGTTGTGTAGGTAGCTTCAGTTATATTAAGTATATCTTTGACAAAACACTAAATATAACTGCACATTTCTTGTTATCCACATTAGACCCGGCTCCCTGGAAAGTATTCAAATGCATTAACTAGTCTCACATAAGTCACGTTCTGTGACTTCTAGTAAGAAAAAAACAGTATGACCTGCCAAAACGACACATTGCATCTAAGTGACACACAATTTTATTGTTCTATTCAAACAGTTACCCACCTTTGAAGGAGTAAGCACCATTGTGGAACTCCAGCTGAAAAACATCGTAGGATGCTCGGTTGGAGTCTAGGGTTGCCGTTCCAGCTTTTCGAGCCCCGATGAACCCGTGCTCCCCGCGGAGGACGATGATTGGACGGTTGATGAGCTTCATCAGGAACTGTTCGGCCTCCCCTGAAGTGAAAAAAGATTAAGGTTGGACCAAACTACTCTGTGGCTTGTTTCATAAAAGCACCTTACGCGGGTATATGGGGGCATTAGAGGACGTGGCATAGGTAACTCGAACATCTGCGCAGGCACCATCAATGCTGAACCATAACATCTTTTTTTCACACATATCACATTTAATATGTTGATGTGATGTGCATCAAAGCTTGTTTTTGGTCAAAACGTTGTATTTGGGAATGTAAGGAGCATGGCTGACCTGCGCTGTCAATGGTAGCAGCCAGCTGCCCGTTCTTCTTAGCAGTCACATACTTGCCATTGGCTGCACGGATACACACACGGCCGTCACGCCACTCCAATTCAAAGTAACTATTGGCAGACCTGAAACACACCCACACAATAAACAAGCCAGTTATTCCACTGAATGTTGGTTATGCATGAAATAAAATGGGTGTTAACCAACATTCAACATTATATGGTGTGTGCGTATGTGTGTTGTTACTTGGTGGAGGCAGTGCACTGCAGTCCTCCGGTAGCTGTGAGTGTCCAGTATTTTCCAGCAGCGGTCCTGAAAGCACACTTCCTGTCCTCACGGCTCATCTCCAGCTGAAAGACTTCCTGGTCCCCTTCCTCATCCTGATTGGCTGACAAATCCATGCCTAGAAAAGTGGGGCAGACTGCTGTCAGCTTTCCTTCTTGTCTCTGGATGTCTGAAACTTTCAAGCCCTTAAATTTATGAACTTTCTCCCGAGAGACTCTTAAAGCCAGAGGATGTCTCAAACTCACAAAGATCTGGGCCTTACTGCACCCATTCAGTGGATTCACCAGTCCTGAATGGGACTAGATAAAAGAAGAAGAAGTAGATGTGGTCATGTGAGCAGAGTAACGATAAAGTAGAAAGTTTTTCCTCATCATTAAATGTTTCATTGATCAGTTAGAATTCTAATGTGTCGAGAACATCTCTGCTTATGATCCATTTGTCAGCCTGCTGACTCAAAACACGTACACTCCAACTATATGCTAAAGATTTGAAACTCAAAAGCAAACCATTCAAATCAAGTGCTGTGTAAAAAGAAATGTGTGTGTTACATAGCCATATGTTAACACGCCTTGATCCAGAGCTGATCCAGTCAGCTGTTCCATGCAGAATCGTCTGCTGCTGATCAGGGGGATGACCACTGAGTTGGAGCCATGTTTGAGGTCAAATGACAAGTGCCCCTTAAATGTTCCCCACTTTAAGCTGTAATTCGTTTCACTTCATCTGCAAGGGGAAATAGCTACTTGAGTTCACCCCCGATCTGCTGTTTTTTTCTCCCTTTTTCTTTGTTTTTTACTGGACAACTATATTAAAGTGAATTAATTGTTTTAAAAAAGGCAGCCATCTGCAAATATAGGCTCTGAGACTAAAACCAAAACAATGAGCTAAATTGTAGAGCTGAAAAATAATTGTGAGTTCATCAAAACAAGAAAGGGTTCACCCATAAATCAAATCATGAATTAAATACATGTGCTGTAATGATATTTGTCTAAGCTTTTTTGGTGTGAGTTGCCAGTTTTGCAGATATAAGCGGTTTTCCTACAATATAATGGAACTAAATGGCACATAAAATTGCCAAAAATGCATTTTAAAAATTCAACTGCAATGTATTTTACATAAATCATGACATGGTTGCTCAGAACAAATCCACCAACTTTGTAATGAACAATTACATGAAGGGACTGGTATTCCACCATATCCCTCCATAGAAGGAATCGTGATCTTACATATGAGGAGATGTTAGTGAGACCGTGATCAGATTTAATGTATTTGGATATTAAGTTTAAACCAAGCATGAAAATGGAGAAGAGATGTGATTCAAGTAACAGTTTACAGAGAAGATAAATTACAGAGAAACAGCAGTTCTCTAGGCAAAAATGCCTTGTTGATGTCAGAGTTCAGAGAAGAATGGTCAGACTGCTTCAAGCTGATAGGACAGCAACAGGAAGGCAACCTCTGGACTGTACAGCATAGAAGATCTCACTGAGTGCCAGTCTTGTCATCTAAGAACAGGAAACTGACGCTACAATTTACAGAAGCTTACCAAACCTGGACAACAAAAGACTGGAAAAAGCTTTTCTTACTCTGTTGAGTTTCAATTTCTGCTGCAACATTTGGATAATTGGTTCAGGATTTGATATAAACAACATGAAAACATGGATCCATTTTACTGTATATTACTGGCTCAGGCTGGTGGTGTAATGGTGTGGTGGATATTTTCTTGTCATACAACCGGTACATGGAAACAAATTCACTGTACTCAAATAGCCTCCACAGTCACCAGATCTCAATCCAGTAGAGCACCTTTGGGATGTGGTGAAATGGCAGAGCCCCATCATCTCTGCAACCCACATCGAGACAACATATTTTGAATACCAGAAGAAGAAACGTGTTAATATGTTTGAATATGAATTTAGCGCGAGTTTAACACATCTATTGATAGGGAAAATGGTTCCAGACAAAGAGCAAAAAGATTTGACCAGTAGATTTCTTACAAAGACACGAAACTGGACTCAGCCTCGCATTACATAAAACCAGTCCACCTTGGAAGAGTTGAGAGAGTAAAAATGTCTCTGTCCTCATTACTGACACCCAAGCTGCCAGTTAACAAAATGCTTGTGCAATGCCCATATTGAGCCCACTGAACCATTAGTGGTTTGTACAAATGCAGCAGCACTGTTATTTCTTTAACAAAGAAAGGAAATTGTGATGAATTATAAGTCCAAGTCCCCTGGTCCTGCTTTCCATCAGCCTTTCAATTATGGTCACAATTTAGGTCACAAGTCACTGCCTTACATACACTGACCTCATTCAAGCAAACCATCCTCTATTTCCCTTGGTATGCTCTCTGTCTGTCTCACACTCACTCACACACAGATAAATCCCCGCTAATGTTGTGCACAGAATCAATTAGAGACCGGGAGGCAACGAGACAATGAGGTTGCATGTGGGATAAAGACCTGTGTAAGGCACACCTCGCTCTTTGTGGCCCGCGTTCTCTGCCTCTCCACCATTTTCCCATTGTCTCCAAAGCAAATCTGCCCTCGTTTTCTGTCTGTTCTGAGATAAAGAACGATGCACAGCTGCAGACTGAAGCTGACCCCGGGCCAGCAACCACAGAGCAGGGGTAGAATTACTGCAGGAAAAATGTTAAACTGGCAGGGACTGCCCCCCGCCCCCCAACAACTACAAAAAAAAAGCGGAGGGGAGGGGGGCGATAATGAAAAACACATGGTGTGGGAGGAAAATGAGCTAAAGGGGGTCTCTAATTCTGCTCTACTTTTTCATGCAGACACGCAACAGCTGCCTCCTGCTGTGTCCAGCTATGCGGTGACCTCACGGTGAAACTGCATTTCTTTTACTTGGTGTCTCTTGGGTCAGTGCAGCTGTACAGCCTCACCTTGCCTTGTGGAGACGTTTCTCTCGTTGCCTGCAGTCAGCACGATCTGCGCGTGGCTGCGCTCCAGGCCGAACTGTTCATCCTTTCCCACCCGGGTGCTCCTCCCAGACTTCATAGTGCCGGTGGGGCCTACGGGGGCCAGGTAGCGACCGTTACAGTCGCGGAATGCCACTTTCCCGGAGTGGAACTCGAGCATGTAGCCGGTATCCTTGTCCGTTGCGGTGGACAGGTTGCCGTCGTTGCGCAAAAACCGGTTGTCAGAAGTCTCGAGGTGGTAGCGCTGATCGCGGTACACCAGGGTCACAAGCGAGTCGACCCCCCAGGGGACATCCCGATCTATTGACACCTCCTGCCGGGCGCTCAGGTGGGCGAAGCGCTTGCGGGCGAAGCTGTAGAGGTTGACCTGCGGGTGCACGGCCAGGTGCATGCTCCATCTCTCCGCCGGCGAGGCGGTCTGCGCAAAGCAGGTGATCCGGTCCTCGCTGCCGCCGAGGAAGCGGCCGTAGGGCTCGGACTGCAACGACCACCGCCCGTCCTCGTGCACCGTTATGACGAAGCGGCAGTCCCGCTCGCGCGTCTCGCTGTCCGCGGTAACGTTGCCGTCTTTGTCCGTGGCGAGGTAGCGGCCCAGGTGTGACAGGAGGAACACGGCGTTGTCGTCTTCCCCTGTCTGCTCCAGGGTCCACGTCTGCTTCTTCTTCAGGCTGCTGGCCGAGGCGTTGATTTTGAAGCCGAATGTTTCCGCAGTCAGATACTTGCCCTCGCTGTTGATGAGGCCCAGAGGGATCTGCAGCAGGTCCCCGTCGGCGCCGTTTGAGGACATGATTGCAGCTTGACAAGAGGAGCAAAGAAAGGAGATGCTGGTCTTATAGAGAGGGATAGACAGACGGACAGAACGAGGGAGAGAGACTGTGGGGGTGTTTGAAGGAGAGAGAGAGCTGCTGCTGATGGTGCTGATGGTGATCAGTGTCCCCTAACTGGGTAAAAATCCGGACTGGCTCGCTGGAGCTGCAGGAGTTGCAAGCTTGTGAGTTTTTTTTTCTTTTTTCAAGGCAGTACACGCCCCAGATACAGGCAGAGGAGCTGGAGGGAGATGACTGCAATTTTGACAAACCACTCCACCCCTGCACTGATCTTCACATAGCCCCACACATATAACCAGTATCATCCACACCATCAGCACTAACTTTTCCATTGCGCCTGGAGAACTCTGTGGATTCACCACCTAACAGAATTGGTATGTTTGCGCTGGAAAGAGGCAGAAAAAGGCCATTTTCTGACAATGTCAGCATACAGAAGGCCATGTGCTGGGATCTCTTATGAGTCAAATGTCCCCTCTGAATCTGATGTGGGGTAGTTTGTAGTTTAATGTTCTCTTCCCCCTGTAGTTTTCACAAAATCTGTGCTGAAAAGAAAATTACCAAACAAAAGCTACTGAGTGTTGGTGTGGAACAATGCAAACATTGTTTTTTCACACATGAACATCGGAGAGATCAGAGACGAAAGTGCGAATTTACTCAGTTGTTTCCCTTCATTGAAATTCCACCCATTTTCCATCCTGTAGTCTGATCAGCCCTTCCGTCCTTCTCCCCCGTGCTTTGTCATAACTCCTGTCTACACATCCACCTATACTCTGAGAGAGAAAGAGAGAGAGAACGGCGGGTGCTTATCCTTTCCTCACGCCCACAACCCCAGGAGAGCTTTCTAAGGTATAAAAAGCTCCATGAGAAGCTAAACGAAGCTTTTCTCTTTTCTTCTTCTTTTCTTTTCCAGTAGTTGAACATATAATTGATTATGGTAATGGTGTTTTGATTTTGTACCGCAAAGTTATCTTCCTCACAGAGCAAGCCAGTGAAGTTTTCTCACAGCAGCTTTGCCTGTGTAGAGCTAAAAACCTTAATTCCTAATGTAATTTGAGGATGTAGTTGAAAGACGGGATAGTTCATGAACAGTTCACTTTGTATGCATACATTTTCAGTTACTTGGTTTTAATTTAGGGAGATTAGTGGCTTGCAAATTTGCTGCATGAAAAATTGGTGTGCTGCTGCGTCAGTAACCTGATAAAAATCAGGAAAATCTTTGACATCTTTTCACTTTAAGCTTTTGATCTTTGATAACTGTAAAACAAACGGAGGTTTTTGATTGTTATCTGGTCAAGATGAGCATTTTGATCACACTACTTTTGCATCCCATGCTTGGATCTTTATTTATCATTAGTTATGGCTTATATAGATAAAATAATTAGATAATTGGTTATAAATCGCTAAAACGAGTAGCACGATATACCCAAAACAAAGAGAAGGGGTAGCAAGAGAGGAAAGCCCCACCAACAACATTGTCCAATGAAATGAACATGTAGGATAAGCAAACCATGAAAAGTACGCATTTTATATGAGCTTGTGCATATAGTTTGAAGCGGGAGGTTGTGCAGGACATGAAACCTGTGCTGGGACACAGCCTGCAAAGTTAGTGCGGAGGTGGGATATCTGGGGGAGAGGATATCTTACAGCTGGGACTACATCGCCCCCATCTGGCTTTTTGGAGAAAAGCAGCAAGGACAAGAATCTCGGAAAGAAAAAAAAGCAAATTCATCAAGTTAAGGAGAGTCTGGATGTTTTTCATTACCTAACAGTAAAGTCCTTGAGTCTTGGTAATGAACACTGAGTTGTGTATACTTTTGAAGTATAATGCCTGGTTGCCTGTATTTTAGATAGCTCGTGGTGAGAAAGTGTAATGAAGTATAACTCAGCTTGCTCAAATGATACAGTATTTACTACTCAAGTAATGTGAATGCTTCACGGGGCTTACAGTGCTGCGTTCACCCCCTTCCCATTTAATCACGTGTCAGATCATCAAACAAATGTTAATATCAGAAAACGATAATCAAGATTAACACAATATTTTATAATTATTATTGAATTTTTTAAAGAGAAAATGAACCAAACCTACTTGCCCCTATTAAATCATGAATGACCGGGGTTAAATTTCAATTCCACTAGCCAGAGCCCGGCCTGATTACTGGCGGAAGCACTGAATCAAGTTAAATGACAAAATGAAATAGACTAAAAGATCTCATAAAACAACAGCTGAGAAGCAAAATGATTGACAACTATCAGTCTAGATGGTGCTACAAAGGTACAATTACATCATTCACAGGCAGAAAGGTTGTCTATCAGGGAGTTTTCCTTTCATCCCTTTATCTGGATAAAAACAGAAATTCTCTCTTGAGAAGGAGAGACTCCAAAGGGGAACTTTGATATTTAAGATCATTGTTTGAGGACACCGGGCATCATGGTGGTCCAGTGGTTAGGACTCTTGCTTCAAAGCAAGAAGTTGCTGGGTTTGAATTCATCTCACTGGTAGGGGTCGTTTCTGTTTGGATGGTTTCCCCTGATAATCTAGTTTTCTCCCACAGTCCAATGGTAAATTGGACCATACCTGTCTAGAATATATCCCCTTTGCCCTGTGACAGCGGGGATAGGGTCCAGCTTTAGTAGGTGTTGACCAAAATGAAAAGACATCGTGGATGGTTTGTGGGAAGTCTTTATTTTATTATAAACTATGTGATGAAGTCAAGTTAATCAGCAGACATCTGCCCCTCCCTGAGCCTGGTTCTGCCGGAGGTCTCTTCCTGTTAAAGGGGAAGAAACCACTGTTGCCACGTTCATGTTCAAAGTGAGTCATCTGATTGTTTTCTCTGTATCATTGTGTTATTGTATTTTTTTGTATTATTGCAGGGTATCTACCTTTCAATATAAAATGCCTTACAATGACTGCTGTTGCGTTTTTCTGTTACATAAATAAAATTGAAATGAATTTTAATTATACCATTATCATCTCTGTGTATATGAGCAAAATAGGTGACTGGTTTTATTCTAAAGATACAGACTGGTGAAGCTCTCTAAGAAAAAAGGGACAGCTGTACGATTAAATGGGTTACAATGACTTTGCTCTCCCTGAACAAAAATATGCTGGTCTGCCTGGTTGTGTGGCGCTGGGGGTCCAGCACCTGTGTAAACAGTATGAGAAAATGATACAGGAACATGGCCACTCAGCTCGCTGCAGAGTTTGCAGCAAAGAGGAGAATTTGAGGAATGACAAAACTCAACTCCTGACAGTGGACATACAAAAGAGAAAGATTTGATCAGGTTTTTTTCAATTCAGGCAAATATTCTGAACAAACCAAACTTACTCAGCATCAGAGAGGCTGATACATGTTTGATGTTAGGACAACACCCCTGTGTCTTCTTATAAGGCAATAGGACTATTAGGTTCTGTCAGTTATTCTTTGAACTTCTCTTATTAGTTTTTCTGACTTTTTCAAACTGAGCTCAAAGGTTACTTTTACATCCTCATCCCCTTGACTCATGCTATATGGAACCAAGAATGGGTTCAAACAACTGGACTTCAGAATGGTCATATCTGGGCAACTGAATGGCTTTGCAAAGTGATAATAGAAATCGATAATAATGCTATATTGGATATCTCAAGATTTTTAGATCGTAAAGGATTAAAAACATTGTTACTCTTTAGTTTTAAAACGCACGTGAAGGTTTTGCGCCTTTGTATAGCCACTATGATGTATTACAGCGGTGTAAGCTGTAATGCACAAGTAAAAACTAACACACTTCCATCTGTTAATCATCTGTTTTGTAAATTATGGAGGTTTTTTTGGTCCACCCCAGATAGGATCAAATTGGGCTGTATGTGTCCCACGGACCTGAATGATTCTGGGAAGAAGAACCCACTTTCAGCCCCTCCTTGTAGCACCACTCCGAGAGCAGCGGGCAAAACACTACCTGGGCTGTGCTCTATCAAGGTAAACAGAGCTAACGGGTACAACCGGCCAATATTTTCAAAATAAGTTTCTTGTTTAAAGAAATGCGTTGCCCTTCGCTTGAAATCGAAGCGTAGTTTGCCAACTTAAAACACATTATTTCATAAACTACCATTAAATTAAGATAAGCATCACGCGTCACCTTTACTTTCGCCTGTCACGCGTTTACGTTTTTATTTTGAAGACGTCCTCATACAGTTCCGGCACCGCTCGGATTTTTTCTTGGTAAATTGACATCGCTGGTTAACGGCAGCCTGGTTGCTAGACGACTCAATCTGCGACGCCGATGAGAAATCAGTAACCTCTGTACCGAAAGACAGCAGCATTTTAACAGTTTTAAGGAAGCTATGCTCTACAGCCCACGTTACCGTATGAACTGCTTATTATTAAGGAAAGTTAGCTGTCCCAAAACATTCCCAGTTGTAGCATAGCTAGCGTCTCTTTTGTTGCCCCCCTGTGTATTTCTTAGCAAGAGAGGAGGCGACGTGAAGTAAGATTTGGGAGTTGGGAAAAGATGACCGAATTAGAAGTGGGAAAAGTCGAGTTTTCCAACCTAACATAACATTTATTTACTAGCGATGTTCAGTGCCAATGCTAAGACGTCTTTTCAGGCGAGTGATGTCCAAACAGATGAAGACTACGAGGAGCTGGTGAGTGTTCTGATCTGGCTGGGTTAAAGATACAGCTGTTTACTTAAAACTGACTTTACAGTGGTTCTTGTTGGAATTGCTTATTAAAAGCCTATAAGGTTCTATAATTTAAAGTCATGGTAGTTTATGGCAGTTGTTTTCAGCACTTTTGACTTCTCAATCAGAGGGGATTTCTGTCTTAGTATGGGTGTCTTACGCCTCCTAGGTTGAGGATGGCTTCTCGCTCCCTGCTGATGTTCCAGTAAAGGTAAACAAATGGACTCGTGAATCTAATCTGTGCCACATGAACACATTGTTATGTCTTTGTTTTTATGGCTGGGACATTTCCTTTGCTTTCGACGTGCTCTTCCGCATGAAACCAGTTTCATAAATACTCCTGTCATCTGCTTTGCCCCCTTCGTGTTTGTCCTCTATCAGAAAACGAAAAAGAAAGTCTCTTCTGGCAAGCCTCCTCCTTCTCCAGGTGAGTCCTGTTCGGCTGCACTGTAGGTAGTATTTTCAGACTCTGTAGGAAAACCCACCTTGAAAGTTATGTTTGCTTTTGTATTTGTAGGGTCTCCATACCTCACCAGTCTGAATGTGAATCACAGGAGAGCAGCAGTGGGTGCTTGGAGACTACCAAGGGCCTCTCTGGGGGACACCAGATTGGACACTCCCGGGGAGACTGGCCCAGCTCGCCTTACTTCCCTCAGCAACGGCCTTGGTAGGTGTCATGAAGGCACAACAAGCTCTGTGAATGGTGCCTACATAAATACATTCACAGTGAATGGGTTTATCTGCTTGCTTGAAATGAAACAGTTTATGGAAGGCTGTACAGCAAAAACAAGGAGGTAAAGGGAAATATAGGTTTGCAGTGATTTCGTCACATATCTGAACTTAAATGCATTATTCATGCTCTGCAGCGCGTCCTCGAAAAGTGTGAAAAGGCATGAGTCAGATGCAGTATTGACTCGTGTTGGAACAGTTTGTGTAAGCCAAACTTCTTTTTAATGTTTATTAGCACATCACCTAGGCTTAAAAACAAGCATGGCACAGACATCTAACACTGCGTTATTAAAAACAATAGAAATCTGCCAAATGAATCAGGAAACCGAAGCATGTTGACAAGTAGCCTCTGTCTGTTTCTCTTTTTCAGATGTGTCTCAAACTCTGAGATCAGAGTGTGACGCCACACCAGAGCTCCTCATGCAGACCCTGAGCACGAGGAAATCCAAACATCTCCGCTCTGCTTCCAACGGTGAGAGAACGCGTTTGTGTATCAGACTTAGAAATGGAGCGAAGAGGGAGACAGAGCTGAAGGTCAGGTTTTTGTGCTGAACAGGAGACGCTTAAAAAAAGGAAAAATACTGGCTGTGAAGGGAGTATGATGTGATATTAGTGCAGTCAGTGTTGTTTTTCACGACTTACAAAGCCAAGCATGTGTTGTCTTCTTTGTGAAATCATTTACCTTCTCCCATCATTTGCAGGTTTGACTTTAGTTACAAGTGATTTCATGAAGAAGGAGGACATGTACGATGAGATCATTCACCTCAAGAAGGTAAGGAGTAACACAATCACACGTTAAAACAAGACATGCATGCCTGCACATCGGTGTAGTGACTTTTCCATCTCGTTTTTGTTCTTCTTCTCAAAAATTCTTCCTCTTTAATTTAGTCAGGCTTCTTTAAAATGTAAATCCTTATGCACTTATTATATGTTTGAGTAGTCACTGGTGCTGTTCTCTGCAGAGCCTTCATGAGCAGAAATCTGACAACCAGCAAATGAAAGCCAAAATACGACGCCTGGAGGAAGACAATGCCAAGAGAGAGAAACAGATAGAATCACTGTTGGATCCTACTAAGGTAAGAACAGAAAATTATTTGTTTTTTATTTTTTCGTGTGTAGTTTTTTTTGTCAAAGAAACTAAAATGATGGAAAAAAACAAAAAAAAACAACTGTGCAATGTTTTTCCTGTAGGGATCTGAATATACGCGTAGTTTGGTAGATAGGAAAAGAGAAGGGAGCGTGGTGAGTATACCCAGTGGGTTAGTGAACATGCCGGGAATAAATGTAATTTTTAGGATGTGTTTATAACAAGAAAAGCTGATCCTCTTTGTCAAGGTTATCAATGGACTGAGGCAGAGGATCCTAAAGCTGGAGCAGCAGTGCAGAGAGAAAGAAAACGCCCTGAGGTAATGCCGTCCTCCAACTTTGTCTCTGTATGTTTGGTTTCTGTGTAAAACAGAATGATGCTCATGTGATTTATTTATTTTTTTGCTTGTTCAGTAAACTGCAAAGTGAGCTGAGGGCCACCAACCTGGAAGAACTGAAGATTCGAGTCAAATCATACTTTGAGGAGGTAAAATCAGTCCCACTTTGCCCACTGTGAGTTTGGTGGTGTGTAAAGGAGTTCAGTAAAGTGGGTCTGTCTGCCTTTCCTTTTAGATCCAGAGACTGAGGATGCTTCTAGAAGCAACTGAGAAAAGGTGACTGACACACACGTGTCTGAGTGTAGCCGAGTTCAGGAGAATCACGGATCTCCGTCGTCATCATTATAAAAGGTTAACGAATAAACGAGTACGTTTCTGGCATTGAGACTTCCTTTCCTGCTCTGTTGCAGCTGTCGAGCCGAGAGCAAATGCTCCCAGAGGCAGCAAAAAGCTTTGAGCTCCACAGTTCACCGTCTGACTGAGAACCTGGAGCAGCTTCAACAAGAGAACGTGGCACTCAGAGAAGAACTCAACACCGACAGTCCTGCTGGAGGAGCCAAAGGTCTTTTCTCACACGCCACAACGTAGTGCTGAAAAAACCAGCAAGAGTCAGATATCAGTGTAAAACGCCTACAACTCGCTGTATATTTTACATACAGTATGTACATATAAAACCAGGAGGAGTAAAAAACCAATGATACTGGAACCAGTGTGTTCTATATGTTGATTTAGGGTCCCGTTAAAGGAGCTTGTACTAGAAACATGCCTTCCTGTCTCCTAGTAAAGCTCGCTGCTATAAAACAATTGTATTGTTTTTAAATCCTAATTGGTTAATACAGTTTTTCTTTATGATCTACGTAGGCTGCCATTACTGATTACATTCCAGCTAACATTAAGTGCAATGCAAAGACAAAGGAAACAAAGGAATTGGTATTAGTCTTTACATCTGTGCTGTTGGGCGAAAGGGGCAAAAAGTCCTTGTGGTCATGGATGCAGGCAGCTTCCAGAAGACTCAAAAGTTGTAGTTTTTAAGCCACAACTAAAACAAAATGCTGTGCCTCCAATTAAACACACAAGGAGACTAAATGCACTTTGGTCACAAGTGAAAATCCTGGAGATCAAGAGGATGGTCATAAAGTGGTTACAGTTTTCTGCTGTGTGCTGAAATGTTACTGAAAATAGTGTAATGATGTGTCCCAGATTACAGAGAGTGGAGTAAACAGAGACTGTTGAGACGGCTGTTGGAGGTGGAGAAGGTGAGAGGAAGCCGTAACCAGTTGTTCATGTAAACACGAGCAGTTGCCTGCCTCTGTTTCTAAGCTCGCAGCTAACAGACTCTCTCCTCCTGTCAGAGGCTGGAAGACAGCAAAAGACACGCCCAGTCACCAAAGAGCGCCATCCTATTGGATAAGGAAGTCCAGACCACACTCACTGAGAGTCTGGCGTTTACCATGGCAACAGAGGCAGTGGTCTCCGGGGGAACGCTCACTGATGAAAGGGAGGAGGTTTCGGAGTTGAGGGAACGCTTGAGCCAATTGGAGGAGGAGAAAATGGCACTTGAAGAGTTGCGGTCAAGTAGAGAGTGAGTGACGAGCAGCCTGAGACTGCTCAGTTAAAAAACAAAACACTACTTCTAAATGTAAAAGTCTAATAAATGAATGATGTGAACCTACCACATTATTACATCCGTAACAGCAGCTGTTGTTCTCTATACTTAATCTGTGTTGTCTGTGGTTCCAGTGATGAACTGAAACAGCTGAAGGCTGAAAGAGAAAAACTTGAGAAAGCGACAAAACAGTGGAAAGCTGAACAGAAAAAACTACACGATGAAGAGAGACAGCAGCATAAGTACACTTTCACTCCTGCATTTGGTGTTTGACATGGGTGTGATTCAGTGTGTCCACACTTTTCTTCAATTTGCATTGTTCATAAAATTGATCATTGTAGTTTTAAGTTAAAAGCCAAGTGTAATTCCATTTCAAGTCTTAAGTAATAGATAAATATGTAATAATAATACTAATAATTATGATGATTTGCAGGTGGAGTTTGCTTGTCATGCAAAGTTGTGTTTATTTACTGCTTTGCACGCGTGTGTTTTGTGTTTCCCAGACAGGAGTTGAAACAGTTGCGAACTCGGATCCAAACTCTGGAGGAGGAAAACAGTAAACTTGCACAGGCTGAGCTTTCCTACCTTCCTCCCACATTGGCAGAGGAGACTCAGGGCAGCACAGGTGTGAGAGAGGGAGAGGAGAGGGACACGGGGAGCAAAGAGGAGGCAGAGGGAGGTGAGGAATCAGTCACAGATGACGGAGAGAAAGAAGAAATGGAGAAGGCAGCATTAGACATTCAGATATGCTGGAGGGAGCACAGAAACAGGGTATGTAACACAAACGCAAAGGAAGTTATTAATATCTGATAGAAATGTTATGTAAAAAAAAAAAAATGTCTAGACACTGGCCCAGATTTCTCTTTCTGTCCATATCCGTCCTCTGCATTCTCTTTTAAGGACACGGTGATGCTGCAGTCAGCTTTAAGAGGCCACCTCTTCAGAGACTCGCAGCTGAAGGAGCTACCGGAAGATGCACTGAATCAGGTTTTACCCACACGCTTCCATGCGATGCACTCATATCAAGCCGTACTTGTAAAGCATCAAGAACAGTGTATTAATAAAAACAATAAATGCTACTTTTCATGGATACTTGAAGACTCATGTCTCATGTTAAGGTTAATTTTAGCATAACGAGTGCTGATTTTGTTTTTCTAATGCTGGGTAATGATCAGCAGGTGTGTGAAGTATTTTCAGCAATGAAGGACTTAAATGTAATTTTGTTTTTCTTTCTTTTTTTCCCTTCAAACCCAAACAAAAGGGGAAAAATTGATTAAACCAGAAATTACTTGTGTGCTGATGTACTTCCAACAATCCTACTAGAGATCATGATGTCCTTAATAAGCCAGAGTCAGCGTTGCAGCTAACACAAATAACCACTAGGTGGCTCTAAAAAACATTTTTTGGTGGGTTGGCTGTAAGCTTTTGTCCCTGCTGAAGCTTTCTTATCTCTTCCCCCTTTTTTGCTGTTTCCAGGTTGAAAAATCCTCAAACTTCAGCGATGAAGCTTCCTCCGTTGGCGACACGCTGGATGATGACGCCTTGACGATGATACAGTCGGCGTGCAGGGGACATCTGGCTCGATGTAGTCTTGCACAAGAAAGGTGACTCATTTATGCACTGAATTAAAAACCAAAACAACAAACAAACAGTCAAACCAAAGAAAAAAATCCACAATTGCTTGTTTGCGTTTGTGTGTTAGGTCTGTGCCTTCTTTAATGGAAAACAATTTTCCCACGCTGGCACCAAGAGGAAGTGCATTACCACACCCACCCAGCAAAAACGGTGAGGTTCTCACCATCTTTTAAAAATTGTTTCTATGCAAACACATCCACAGCAAACTATCAAAATATTCATCAGAACACAGCAAAAAACCAAACAAAGTCACAGCTCTCCATCCATCTTCAGTTCAGGGATAGGGGTTAATGCACCCCAACACGCTGTACAAATGTATTCAGTGCCTTCGTGCTACACTGTAACTGCTCAGTGCTCAGACTTCATATTCACTGATGTATGCACCTCCCTGCTCTCAGGTTCCAAATCACTTATGATTCCTTCCCCCCGGCACTGCTTTGAGTATTGATGGATTTCGCTGGAGCAGTAATGTAATTCTATTGTCCCTGTCTGCTCAGCACCAGCGAGGGCACCGTCTGCCTCAAATAAAATAAAGACTTAAGAGGGCACTCAGCAGACCTTCACACCACTACTGCCTCTACTTTACTAGGAGTAAAAAAGACTGTTTAGGAGCTTAAGAACTGTTTAAACAGAGGCGCAAATGACAAGAAGAAAAAAAGAGTTTGGAAAAATATCCCCCAAACTCTCTGCAAGTAATTCAATGTTAATCAAACTTTACAGAATTATATTTAATGCGCTCACGTCAAGCGATCGCAACATCCGCGATGACTCAGGTCTGTCGCAGCTTCCCATCAGCAGAGTCATCACACAAACGATTGCAGGGATTTGACTGTGTCATGCTGTGATGCAGTTCATTTCAGCGCCGAAATAAAACCATTTTTTCCTGTTAAATGCCAAAATAGGAAATCAGATGATGACAGTGATTAATTATGAACAGATCGAATGAGCGTGGAACTTTCCATGTGACTGAACCGCTCTGTGAATTATCCTCAATCCTTCCTAAGCAAGAAAGTTAGGAGTTCTCTGAGAACATTGTGCGAAGCTGCTTCTGTTTCAGGAGTCCTGCCTTCACATCTGTCTGCCCTAACTGACTCCCCCATTACTTTCCCCGCCATGTCCCAGAGTATTGAGCATGTCACAGCATGCTTGTGCATAGAGCAAAGCAGTGATGTCAGCATTTTCCCCCCTATAATCTTACAAGGATGCCTCTGCATTTGATACCTTGTGGGCTTCACTGAGAGAGTTTAACCTGCATCGTTCCAGCTTCTTTTCGATCTGAGAACACGTGCTTTCTTATGGAGCTTCACAGTGTGTCGTATTGTGTCATGCTTCACTGGTTACATTGTAGTTATATTTTATAAGTGGTAAAGGACAGCCTCCAGTGAAGCTGTTTTTTACCATCTTCATTTGATGTTTTTAATAATGTGGTGAAAGGCCTATCATGAGCAACATGAACTCCCTCGCTGAGCTGTTCTAGATTCCTACAGACAGGGTTTTATTTGTTGAAAAGTTTAGTCAATGCCACGAGAAAAGAAATGGTCCATATTTAAATGCATGCTGTTAGCACTATAGCATCTGTACATGTGTCTCTGAGGGTGTGGCTGAATGGCATTAATTACTCTTTGCTGTTCTGTTAATAAGATGCTGCATCTCTCAGTGATGATGGTGAAGAGGAAGGTGTAAAGAAAAATAGCCGGCCTGCGTCTAACATCTCTGCCTCCAGGAAGACACTCACAAAAGGTCAGACAGAGGTCACAGCAAGTGTTTATTTCTTTCATGGCCTTTGTTCTTAAATGTAAGTGTTAAAGGTAATTATACACCTATAAACATGCGCGCTGTATGTCTCCTGCAGCCCAGAGCGAGTCTCGTGACATCGATGAAGACGCCGCTTTCTATTCTGATGATTCTGATGACATCATCGTGTCTCCGTCACGCCCATCGAGAAGCTGAGTAGTCACTAAGTATAGTTACTGAGTATAGTTACTAAGAAGTTTAACTTCTTACTGAAGCTGCAAATAAAAGCTGGGCTGTTCCAATAATGTTTGTAATATCAATGACAATATTCACTGTGTAACACGAGCTGCTCCCATGCCAATGCCAATAACAGGAATATTCTCAGAACGTGTCTCAGTGTTGATGTAAGGTTATGAGATGGTTTTTTTTCTTTAATCAGACAAGAACATAAAACGAACAGCCCATTTTTGTTGAGTGTGCTGTTCTTGAGCCAAATATCTCTGTTTAATTAGTCAGATTTATTTTTGCTTCTTTTTGCCTGCTGCATGGGAATTCAAATTGAAATTACAGTAATAAATGCATTCATTTCTGCTAACCTAGCAGGCATCGCTTTAAATTCATCTGGCTTCATCAGGCTGTAATAATCCATAAAATCACATTTGCACATGCCTTATTTGGTAATACATGAAAGTCAGCACACTAATATATTTTGCATGCTTAGTTCGTTATAGCTGAGTCTGCGGTGTGGTTGAGGGAAAGCTCTTAACTGATGCACTATTGAGCCAAACTGTGAATAAGTTATAGATCAGGCTGCTGCAATACTGAAACGGTGAGAGCAGGGGAAGATACACAGGGACTGTGTCTAATGCCAATAATACTTGTGCTTTAAAACAGACAAATGAGTCAATAAAATCAACGATCGAGTGCATTTGTCTCCACATGATCAGTGTAACTTAATTTCTGATACAGTAAATAAAATGTTTTTCTAATAAAATCTCCAGTCTCATGTGGTCCTTCCCAGAAACTATTACCTGTACTTACATTTTGTGCTTATTTTCCCAAACACTTCTGAGAGAAGTAGCATGTACCCCCTTTTTTTTTTTGTTGTTGTTACACCCTTTGTGTCCATACACTTCTTAATGTTTGAAGTCAGCTAATATCAGTTCCACTGTGTATAAAATCAAGCACATAGCCATGCTGTCTGTCTTTACAAACCTTTGTGAATAATGTGTAGTTTTAAAGAGATGGCTGAGTGTTGTGCTGTAATAGGAACCACAACAAAAGCTGATTGAGGTGTAGTGAGAAAAAAAATCACCAACACTCTGCTGACTTTAGAACTGCACAGCTCCAGACCTGCTCTGGCACTGAGGATTGTACAAAAACCTCCCAACAGTATCATGATCAAGAGTTTTAGCTGAAACAAAAGAGAAACTCTTTACTAAAACTCCTCAGAATAGTGACAGAGTTAAGTGTCATTACTCCATAATGTTGTTTATGGATCTCTTCTCATGTAGAGAATAAGTCTGAGAACAAAAGGGGTGCCTCTGGGGAAAACACAGAGAACAACCAGTGAAATATAGGATTTTATTTCAAAATGTATGTATTTGAAATTAGCCCAGTGTTAAAAGTACAAGTGAAAATATAATTTCTATGTATTTATTATAATGTAATAAAAAAATCACCCTCAACACTGAAGATGTGCATCCCCTGAGTCTGCAACCCTCAACCTCTGATATCATATTTATTTATATTTATTATTGGTAGGAGACATTAATATTGTTTGGGACTGTTTTTCTGATTTTTTTTTTTCAAATTTGGAAATATTCCAGGAAAACATTTAAAACAATTTCTAGTGAAAGACCCATTGTGTTGCTTTCCACCCGTGTCGTAGTCATATAGGCTTTTTAAAATAATCTTCACCATTGTGGAGGATAAAACGTCTAATGTGTACTTCCACCACTTCAACACCAGGGGGAGGCTTTTTTGCGCATTTGCCCTCTCACATACACATCTACAAACTCAGGCGCGCGCTTGCAGAAACACACGCGCTCACACGCGCGCGGAGCTGCCGCAAAGCCCCGTCCTTCAGGGCTTTTAAAGCACCGTGTTTACTTCACGCTCCAACAATACCATCCAATTGAAGAGCCACAACGCTGAACCGGCGGTCACTGTGGGAAGACCGCCGACGAGCACGAACCGTGAGCAGGGGAGGACAGCAACTGTATTATTATTTAAAAAAATAGATAGTGGTTTGCTGGTCAGATAATTTAACCCCTAATCTGCCGTGACGCTTTTGCGGAGGGTGAAGGCAGTCGAAACGGGAGGACGTCTCGGTGAAATGTGAGCGGACCGGGTCGGTGACCGTTATTCCGTTCTTTTCAATGTGGATGGGACTACAAGCGACTCGCTCGTTGCAGCTAGCTCGGTCCGGCCGCGTTGATGCAGCAACAGCGCACGGCTGTCGTGCTCAAATCTACCGCCGGATTCGGGAAGACAATAGGTGAAGTATACGCCGGTCTGGACCTCCAAGACTATACCAAACGAGGGTCTGCATCCGCTTGGGCTTCACTAGGTAGGTCATAACACGGTTCCTACCCACCCCAGCACACGGACTTGGATGTCCACAGGCACGCAGACCTCAAAACGAATTCTTCCTTTTCTCCCTTCTCGTTGCCTTGACGACTCTGTGGTACTGCGGTAGATTTAATGGACAAAGCGGGATAGAGCTAGCTAATCTGGGTTTGCTAACATTTTATTGAGCGCTGCGATAGATAAATAAGGCTTGAATGCTGAATGTGTAAGGGTACCCGCGAAGGGGCTGACCTACATGTACCAATACAGTAAATTCAGTACAACGGCCATCCCCCCCTCCCGTTCAAGACACATTTATTTCACGAAGCCTGTGTTTTTGCAGTATGGGCGTAAATTGGGTGACGCTGTCATGGATGCTCTTGTCATGCCATAATTCATGTACAGGTTTAACGTTTGGGCGAAATGTACACTTACTGAATGTCTTGTCGGGCTTTAATTACATTTAATAGGTTATCGGTGATAATTGTTGTGCGGTTGTTATATAGTATAATATAGTTATTATAATGCATTGTGATACTGGCGATAAGCCAAACATACATCACTGTAAAGGAAGGCAACCCCCCAAATAGTAAAGTCATATGTCATATTGCAGTCTTTTTGCCTTTGTAACAAAACACACAGAAACCTGTAACCCCTGTGTTTTACAGCAGGGGTGTTTTATATTGGTCCAATGGGAAATGATCACGAAAGATTCAGCAGCTATACTCTTATTGAAATTAATAAATTGTGAAAATATATGCATAACTAATGAATAAAGAGGGTATCCATTATATTGGCATTTTTGACCCGCCCTGTTAGTGGGTATTGATTACTGTTAGGTCATCACATTAGCCTTATGATAACATGCGAATGCTGCGTCTTACTCTTCATCTAATGCGTTTGGTGACATTAAAAGTTGCTTCGTGTCCTCCTCAGATGCAGTGATTGGCTGTTTCTTTTACAGTGTCCCTGTGAGGAATCGGGCTAAAGAGTGAAGTGAGAGCCAGCAGGCAGCTGCATCAGGATGGCGGCCGTGGTGAATTATTCTCCGCCTTGGTGGGTGAATCTGCTCCACCGGTTGCCTCATTTCAACATCGAGTTTCAGACAGTGAGCAGCGACTTCAGGCCAGAGGACTCTGAGTACCAGAAGGTAAGACAAGTGCGGGAGAATAATTACCTCCCACTCAGAAATTCATCATCTCCTTCATCGTGCAGCATTGCCTCATCATCGTACCTCCTGCCACATGCCCACACTGTAATTTCACAGCAGAGTGGCCAAGTGGTGACTGAAGCCGTCCTGCAGCCAGAGTTGTGGGGTCTCTCCCTGCATCGATCAGTGCGCTGTGTGAATGTGTGTGTGTGTGTGTGTGAGAGAGAAAAAAAGAGAGAATAAAATCTGTGAGCCTATTCTTGTTCCACAGTCATAGACAGATGAATCTATATAAATAGATACTGCATATGAATAGCCTGACTCTGTAGAAAAGCGAGAAGGTAAAGGAATCTTTCTGTCTTCCATTTATTTTCTGCCAAATACGTTTGTAGTCCACGTAGAGAGTAAATAAGGGAATAGAAATGCAATCTCAAACCCACTCGTGCTTATCTGACAGTGGTTTAGCCTCTATTAGCCTTTTTAAAGACGTATTTACATTTGTAAACAGTGACTGGTTCATTGAACTGAAGTCTTGCAACAGATATCCGGATATTTGAATTGCACTGTAAGTCCCAGACCGTGGAGAACCTGTAAATCAATGAATTTAGTAATCAGTTAAGACTTATTTTTTTGCAAATTAAATTTAGTTTGCTGTAGAACTCCTATTCTGACACATAAAATATCCAACATAACACAACGTAGTACTAAGCACCGAAGGTACTTATAATTTCAAAAAATAAAATCAAACGAAGTAAGTAAACACTGTTTTACACTCTGAAACTGTAAACCTTTGTTAACAGTGCTCCTGGTGTTTTTTTCACCTTGTAAAGCGCGTGGCATGATGCAGTGTTGGTAGGCTGGAGCAGCTACACAGAGCTGTGCAGGACCCCGTCTACGTGCTGAAACTGTACTGTCACCTGATGGCAGTGCCAAAAACACATGGAGCAGTCAGTAATGTGGGCTGTTTGTCCCATTGTTTGTGCTTTAACCCCTGTCATGATCAAACAGGAAAAAACAATGAAAAAAGCCATTGTCTGAGGTCTTGTGATTTTTATTTTTTTATATTTAAATTTTTTTGCCCTTCTTCTTGTTCATCGAGAACTCTGCTGTTGTTCCCCTCAATCTCCAAGCCAACTAGTCAGCCAATTAGCAGTCAACCTATGAATAGCATGATCGACGTTGGTTAAATTCCCATAATTCTTCACTCTGTTTAGCAAAAAAGGTACCAGTTGGACACCAGCACAGGCCATGAATCCATATTAAGTCTGTGTAATCATCTGTGGACAGATTGGGTATTTTTTTTTACCTTTCAATGATAAAATGTGGTGGTTTGTGAAAGTATCATCACTCTTTATGAACTGCTTGCAGCTCATACATATATGCAATCTGTAATATGAGGTAGTGAGTAGGAATTGATTTCTTGGCTCTCTAGACACCATTAGAAGTGTAGGAACCAATGGCCACAAATAAATCACAGACAATTTTGAAAACCTATTAATATGTAAAGTCATTTATCACTGGCAGAAATCCCAATGCGATTGTCCTACTTGTATATCATTATCAGTGTAATATCTGCTGATTTGCGAGGGTTGGTTGGACAAAATATGCAGTCAGCACTTTGTGCTCTCCGATGGTCCGTTTTTCCACAAATTTTCAGCATTTTATTGGATTAAAATGAACCTGATACTTGGAAAAAACTAATGAGGAAAAATCCCAAATTAGATTTCTTTGAAAGCATAAAACTAATTGATATCATTCTTGGATTAAACACTGACTGAGTCAGGAACGGTGCATTGGAAAGCAGCTTCATCTTGAAAGGGGGGGGGGGAATTTGCCCCAGTTTTGCTGCATTTCATTAGAATCCTCAAACAAGGTGACTCCCAGGTCTCTGCAGCAGTAAACCCAGCCTCGCTAGGCCATATAAAGCAAAGGCACATCACTCAGGATCTCACATTTCATGCACCGCAGTCATCCCTCAATGCATTTGCTGACACTACGGGGAGAGAAGGGAGGGCGTACAAGTTCATGCGCTGAGCGTGGGAAGGCACCCACAGCCACGAACAAGGGGAGGGAGATGAGAACCGGAGAGAGAAGAAGGGAGAGAGGAGGAGGAGGAGGAAGAGGAGTGAGAAAGATAAAAAAGGGACTGATTGGAGCCGAGAGGAGAGAGAGAAGGCTCCATGAGCCATGGGAGGTGCTTCCAAATTGCCAAATAGCCACTTCCTGCGAGCTATTCAGTGTTTAACTAAGGGCCTTTGTAGATGTGTGTGCCAATGTGTTTGCCCACTGGAATTTTAAGGACCCCCCTTTTAGACTAATTACATCCTGACATATTTTAGCAAACGAGGCGGTTTCTATGTCAGTGAGGATTTTGTGCTACGACCATACGTTTGTTTGTACAGCTGTAGACGTTGCGTGCACTGTATATATATATATATATATATACACACACACACACACACACATACATACATGTCACGTACAGTATGTTCGCTTTCTGTGTCAGCGCATTTAGAGCTTGCTCGTTGAGATGAGGTCACACAGCTCCCTTGGGGGGGTTTCGTGTGTGTTATTTCGCAAGTGTGTGTGTGAGTGAGTGAATGTAGGGGTTCCATTCAGGGTGAAATCGTTAATTCTGGCTAGACGCAGAGGAGGGAGAGATAGAGGTTGAGAAGGACAAGGAGAAGGAGGGTGAGTTGGACTGGGGGGAGGGTGAAGGGGAGGGCTGGAGTCTGTTGTGGAAGAATGCTCTCTTTCTTTCTTTCACTCTTTCACTGAAGCCCGTCTTTAGATTGGCTCAGTATATCTGTCTCAAAGGCTTTCATGCATCTACTCATCCAGCTGAGAAGCACATAAACACTCGGGCGCACACATAACAAACAAGGTCTTACACAGTGTCTTTCAGCACACGGTGTTCGTCACCGCACCACGACATTTCTCACACACACACACACACACACACACACACACACACACACACACACACACACACACACACACACACACACAATAGAGAGAGATTCTTCTGTGCAGTGTTTTTCTTTCTGATGTGATTTGGCTCGGGTTCATTTGCATTCAGCTTTTGAAGCTGGTCACAAAAAAAAAGAAAAAAGCTCTCCTCTCACACCATGTCTCACTCACTCACTGGTCTGTGATGACTTTGACTGTAGTGGGGATTCTGACTCTGTGGCTTTGTGAAGAAAACCGTTTGCGTTTTTTTCCTGGATAGCTGAAATAGGAGCTCTTATCCTGAGGTTCTGCATTTGTGTTCATCTGTTTGCGTTATGGTGGAATCGCAAAGTCAGCTCGCAGCCACAGTTAAGCAGCTGCAGAACATTACAGAGGAATCATGTGACCTGTAATAACACACACTTTCATATTGCCAGCTGTGGAAAGTAAGTCAGTAATTGGTATTTTGGATGGTTTGCTACAGTTTGCACTGAAGAAGGCATTTCCTCGTAGCAGTTTAGAAAGATGATGCTAGCGTTGAATGTTTTTTGTGTGCGCTGTCCATGCCTTTATGCTTTGGTAGCTCTTTGACCCAGTGGCACAGGTGAATATTAACAGAATGAACTTGAGGTCAGTGAATGCCTCAGGAAAGAAGTTGAGAGGATAGTAGGCCAAATTACAGAGTAACACACAGGCAGGGAGAGTGCAAGGACAACTCAGTGAAGTGGAAGTGATTGATCCTGTCATCTCAAACACACACACACATGCATGCACACTTGTGGGAGTGCATGTACACACACTTAAATGGGCAGATTGAAAGTAGATCAGTGTGCCGGGGTGTTTAACGTTTAGCCCCTCCTCCAGCCTGCAAGCTGATCTCTAGTGTGGAGATGTGCACGCACGCACACACTAATGTACACCCAGGCTCACCATGCTTATTAGGGGCTAATTGATCCACGCCTAATCTGCACTGATGGTTTGTTAGCCTGACAGTTAATCTAACAGCCATCAAGCACACCAGGAGGAGATCTATGAGTACTAGGTCAGTTGTTGTTGCTTTGTAAACATAACAGTCATGACTCGCTGATTTGCACTTTTCACTGGCAGGTGATCATTCAAATCATATTTCCTGCAAACCGTGAGATATCTTTCATTTCTAGCTGCTTAAACATAAACTTTCACTTCATTACGTCTCTTAACCACACTAAGCACTGAGTAATTTTGGGGTTTGATAATCTCCAAGACCCAATTTGTGATGGGTTAGGGTTTTCACTTTTTTCTACTGAGTACTGAGCCAGCCCTTATCTCTTTACAGTTTGCTTCCAAGGTGCCAGAATTTGTTGAAACTTTTTAGTGGTCTTTGACATACATAAAAAAGTAATGCACCAAAGAGATGATTCCCATATCTCAGCATTTCAGTGCAGTGTCTCCTTAAAAGATCTGAGTGAACTGGACAAGTGGAGGACACAAAACAGATGTATTAAGCAGATGAACAGTATCTGAAAGTCATGTCCTTAAGAAACAAAAAAATAAACAACGACACGACACAGGACCTGTAAAATGCATCTGGCCTTTTAGTTGATCCATCTATTGTTCTCCAAAGCTTTATCGGAAATGGTGTCGGTGGAAGGGTGACTGTGAAGAAGTAATTCTTTAGGAGGGGAAAGAGGGAGAGAAAGCTGTGGTATGCCAAATTACACAAGAACTGCACTGAAAATCAGTGGCAGTGGGACTTACGGGGTGACGAATCCAAATTTGAAAGCTTTTGTCCAAAGTGTTGTTAGTCTGCACAGAAGAGGTAGAACAGTGAGTGTCTACAGCCATCTGTAAAACAGGGTGGAGACTGTCATTGTTTTGGGAGAATTATGAACAGAGAAAAGTATCATCAGATTTTGATCCACCGTGCAATACCATCTGGAAAGCATCTCATTGGCAAATCCTTTATTTTTCAGCATGACAATGATCCCAAACAGTGCTACAAAGGCATACCTGGATAGAAAAACTATCGGGCATGAATACTATCAGTGATAGCATTGGCCTTAGAGGAGGATCATCTTTATGGAACAAAACGCAGCCAGCATCCAAAGAAGAGCTTTGAATGTCCTTCAAGAAGCCTGGAATAAGAAATTAGAAGAAAGTTTGCCTAAAACGGTTTCGTCTGTGCTGAAGAATAAAAGGGGTTTAATATTCCAAATATTGACTTTCAAGCTCACTAAAATTGTACAAACTCTGTTTATGCCTTATATGGCGTATCTTATTAATTTTCATTTACACGTGTTTAGGTAAATTTCAATGGTGTTTTAAGACTTTTGCATTGGATTGTATATGTAATTCTTTATATGAACAGACTTAATAGTCTGTAGTATAGTTTATCTATAGATAGCTTTATTGTATGTAGTTGATTTTAGTTGCATTTGTTTGAACTACTTGCTTTTTTGATGATCTGTTTACTAGTTGTTTTTCAGACGCCCAGGTTTTCTGTGAAAATTGCTTTTTTAAAATCAAAAATGCACACTCTGAAAATGTGAATTTATTGATGAAAAAATGACATTTAATTCGTTTTTAAATACTGTTTTGACTAATGCCAATTTTTAAGCCCTGCAGTTTGATTGCATGGCCTAGCCTACGTTTTTCATGAGTTTAAGCTGTGTTTGGAGGCTTAGGTTTTCACCTTTCAGCCCATCATATGGGAACAGGAGATTTTCTCTGTGTTCACAGTGAGTTTCTTTCCAATGTTGTAGCAAAGCATGTCGCAGCCTTGCTGTCTCACTCATGCTCTGTGTTTAATTGGGTTAACCAAACAATTGTATTAACCCTGAAAGACATGCTATAAACAGTCCAAAAATATTTCCCTGCCTAGCAACAGTAAGGCTGTAAATAAGACTTGCAAACACAAAAACAAATCTGCAGAAAGAATTACCTAGTCCCCTGATATCTGATGATCTTCTCATTCATTCAGGCCAGTACAGTATTCTTTTTTTCTTTTCCATTTTGGCTTAGTCATTGCATGAAACTGTTTCAGTGCCGTGCCGAAGGCTGTCTTCAGACTGCAGGCAGAAGTCTAGTTATTTTTTCTGGTTTCTGAACTGAAATTTACTTTCACAATTCTATTATGTAGTTAAAATAGCCTGTGACAACCTGAAAATTGTCTCTGTGAAGCAATTCATGGTACAATGCCACCACTCATGGCTCCGACTCTGCACCCACACACGCCACAAGAAATGCCATAATTAAAAAGCTGGCTGTCGTCTTTGTGCTCTTTGTCATCTGCTCACAAATTTTCCCACACAAACTTATGAAGTAGAAAATGTAAACACTAACTGTGACCTCCATGTTTATTTCTGTATGACATGTGACGTCTTTGCCATTGTTCTTTTGGGCATGCGAGTCACCACAGCATCATGAGCAGTTTGCTCTGAAATCAGATCTCGGCCACTTGAAAAAAAACATAATCCAACCAAAATTGAACTCTTATGAAAGGGGAAACCGTGAATTCATGTAAAAATATTACTTTCTCTCCATGAATGTGTCCTACTAGTGACATGTATCATAATGTATATGTGCAGTTTCATTGCCAGTCTGTTACGGTTAATCTGTATCTCCATTTAGTTTAAATCCCTTTGTTGATTTTACATACACACATACCTATACATAATACCATAGACTAAGAATCAGGAAACTCATGTCATTTCCTCTCTCATCATCTTTAATCTGTTGGGAGGAGACAGTCAGGGATAGCTGGGTAATAACCAGATTTCTTCTCCTTGTCCTCCTCCTTCTTTCTGATGAGCAGGGCTCAACATTGCTAATAGCACATTTGCTGAGATGGACCCTCACTAATGAATATTTTTTCTTACAGTCAGAATTTGCACAATAAAATACTTAAATTTTTTAAAATAAAACTACTGGAGGGGATAATTTAAGACAGACCTGTTTGTTTTGTACAGCACAGCTATTTTAGGAATAAGCGTGTGGTAGTGTAATAAGACAACTTTTAAAACTACACAAATGGCAGACAATGGCCAAGGGACGTAGTGTGTAAACATCGCCAACACTGTGGACTCCATAACTGCAGAGCTCCAAACCTCCTCTGGCATTAACATCAGCAAAAAACTGCACCGGGAGCTTCGTTGGCTAGATTTTCAATGCTAAGCAGCTCCTGTAGGTATAAAGTATAGCTAGCTCAGTACTTTTGTCCATATACTATAGTTGTAACTTATCTTGTAATGAGGTACATCACATTTAAACATTGCACCAGGTCACAGCCATAACTGTAGGATCTCACACAGTAGACTGATGCGTTTAGTAAATAATGATGCCTGGCATGTTTCACTACACATATACTGTATGAAAAATTTTGCTGTAGTATTCTAATGAACCCATACCTGATTAGATTGGCTCTAGCCCCCTATGTGTTGGTATGGTGCTATAGTGCTGTTACATGTGCCTCAGCTCACACACCAAGAAGCACTGACATTATTAGGGTGCATAGTTTTTCTTAATGTGAAAAGAGATTTGTGCCTTCAAAGACAAGTTATCACTTATATGCTTTTGTGAGTAGCTAGCGTGAATTGTACTGCTTACTGAAAAAGTCCAATTTAAAGAGGCAGTGAAAGTAGAAATAGAAGTGAAAACATTGCAGTTTTAGCTGGCCCCTCATTCTAACATTTTAGACTAAGATGCTGAACACGCAAACGTGGCACAGTCTCTTACTAACAGGTTAGCACTGTTTTTTGTGCTCATGCTAGCATGCTAACATTGGCGTCTAGCTCAGTTGGATTTCCAGCTCAGAAAGTCCTTTACTTCAAAAGTAGTGCCATGCCTAGTGGTTTTGACATCATATTGAATATAGGTGCTTAGCAACTCGTTTAGACCCATATTTACACATAGCTGGTTCAATCCTTAGGAGGATGTTCATGTTTCTCCATTATTTTTTCATTGGAACCATTCTAAGAGGCTCAAGGAAGAAGACCTTTAAAACTGCAGTGATTGTCTGTTTTTCTTCGTGTGTGTGTTCTTTTTTTTGCTCTTCTAATCCTTGCACGAATCCTGTTGGGTTAAGAGACACAGTCCCAGAGATTGCTTTTCCTGATATATTTTAATAAGCTTAAAGATGTAAGGGCATTGCCGTCTGGAAATCAGCAAAAATATGAGGTCAGTAGCAAAAAAGCAGCAGTTTAAAATCTTGGGAAGTCAGGAAGTGTTTGTGGAGGTGGAGTCCCATTGTGTTTATCATCAAGGGTCCCCAGAGTTGCACTGTTGCAGTTTGTCACCATGTAGCTCCGTGGCAGAATTCCTTTGTCTGCCTTAAGTAGTCTAGCAGGTGGAGATTTTTGGTTTTCCAGAAACGTGTAATTGTCCCTCATGGTCCTCCAGTACAATGACTTTTCCAGACAGTCCCAGAGGGGAAAGAAAAATCAACATTTCAGTGTGTGTGTAAGATAAAAAAAGATTTCATCAGTCCCAGCCAAACTGCTGTAACAGCTCTCGTGTCTGTCTTTACCGGCTTCTTCCTTTTTTAGAGTTCACTTCAGTCATTTTTCACATCTGCTTCCTTGTACGTCTCTCCAGCGTGTCTTTTTTTGTTTCAAATTTACTCCCCCTACTTCTCCTTCTCTCTACCCCCATCACCCCCACCCTCTTTTACACTTCAAAGCTTTTAGAGGGTATGTGATCTGTGTGGTGGGTCTCTGGCGCATACAGCTCCCCAGCAGCAGCGCTTCCTCTCACTTGTGGAGGTGTGTGTGTGCATGTGCTTGATGGTGTGCAAATACAGGAGAAGGTAAAAAATTTTATGGTGTCTATCAAAAGCCCATTTAACAGTCACTATTTTGGGGGCCTCAAGTAGCAGGAGACAGGAACACAGTTTTGCAAATACATTCACATGTGTCTGGCAAATCATGTGGTCTGTTGGTGTGTCTGGTTTCTGTTCATATCAGCTAATTTGCTTCCTTAACCCACATCCTAAATGGCCCACTTCCTTGTGATAAAGGAAACCTCTCAAACACGATGCATCTGAATGAATCAAGACAAAGTTTAATGGAAAACGTGTAACACAAACTGTACAAAAATCACAAATGTCTTGTTTTTGCTAATTGGTTTTTTGTTTTTTCTCTCACTCTTTCCTCAGTCTGTCTTGCTCCTCGGTGCTGTGGCGTTGCTGTGTTTGGGCCTGGACCTTATTTTCCTCCTTTTCTACTCTTTCTGGCTTTGCTGCCGGCGGCGCAAGAGTGATGAGTCCTCACACTCCCATATGCACTCCCAGCAACCTAGCGCTGACTGCTGCTGCACCGCTTGGTGCGTCATCATTGCCACACTCGTCTGCAGGTGAGACGTTATTCCTATGAGATCGACTCTTCTGTACAATGTGATGAAGCTGTTTGTGCTTGAGTGCGTTTAGCAACATCCACCTTTGCATCACAGTCTGTAAGATGAGTAAGGGAGGATTGTGTCTCATTGACTTTGAATGAAGTAATGTCGTGTGTTGCTGAACTGAATTGTGGATCTGCTGCTTCACTTTACTTATGCTGAAAAGTTGATGAAAGTTCAGAATGTCGAGCACCATATCAGCCACGTTTATTCAAATGCTCCAGCACTAGCTAGCTCTCGTTAATGTAAAGGTATCCACAGCAACTTGGTTGGCTTGCCTTAAGAGTGCCAGTGTTGCTAATACTTTATTTAAAGTTAGAAGTTGGAAATGTTGACTTCCAAGACTGAATTTATAACTGGAACGCCCCCTCAAGTTGGATTTCCAGCTCAGAAAGTCCTTTACTTCAAAATCCATGTTGGTGGAAGTGCACATAAAAACTGCAAAACCTCTCATCTGTACTACTATTGTTTTGTATTTGTGACTTACTAAATAAGTCACACACAGAGACCCAACCAGGCTCCATCTTTGTGTTTAAGGGCAGAAAAACAGACATTATACTGTATTGCTAGATGGATGCTTCTACACTGCTAGGAGCAAAACAAATCCTCTTCTTTCCTTTCTTTTCCGGCCTCAACGCAGTCAAGTCGGGAGTGATGTCATTCCCTGCTTTGACATCTGACTTCGGAGGTAAATGAAGCGCAGCATTAGACCATCAATCCTGCAAAGAAACAAAACAAAACAAAAGTCAGGGATGCCTTTGTTTGGCAGTGCTTAAGTGTGAATGCTCCCATAGGGCTGAGCCAGCATAATTAGCTATTCACTTGGAAGAGTTGCCCTCTAGCCCTGGACTCAAATTTTCTCAGGGGGTTGCTAAGAAAAGCGTTATACAGCCAGTTAGTGTACAGCGTGCAGCTGAAAAGGGATAGCAGGCTTGTAGTGCTTGACTAACAGGCTGAGCAGTGATGACTTAAGGCAAACGTTTAAATTTTCTTCAATCAGAACAAGTTTCTCTCATCATTACTTTGGAGCAGTGAGTAGCATGAGCAGAATGACTTTGGATTTTTTATTTGTCTCTTACTTGTATTATATGTGTACAACAAACACATGCAGTCAACATGTAAATAATTTTTGAATTAGTTATCATTAATAACTAGTTTTGTCTTAGCACACATTGCATCCAAGGTATACAGGAGAGCATTTCTGAAGCATCCTTGAAGCAAAAGGTCTACAGCAGCGGAAAACCACACCAAGTGACACTACAGTCAGCAAAGAGCAGGAAACTGAGGCTACAATTCACTCAGGCTCGCTAGCCTCAAGCCCTGTATTAACAGTTCAGGCTGCTGCTGGTGTAATGGTGTGGGAGATTGTTTTCTTGGCACACTTTGGGCCCCTTAGTATCAACTGATCATCATTTAAATACTATGACCACAGTATACCCATCTTCTGATGCAGGATAATTAATCATCTCAAACTGGTTTCTTTACATATTACAGTGACTTGCCTATACTCAGGTGCAGCATTTTGTAGTTATTTAAGATCGTGATCGTTTCCCCTCTCTCCACTGCTCTGTTTCAACATGCGTGTGTGAGTGTGTTTATCTTTGCCATGTGTATGTTAGTGTGTTTATCTATTTAACCATATGTGTGTATGTGGGGCTAGCCAAGTAGAACATATAAAGTAAAGATAACAAAAGTGTGCAGATCAATGATAACTCGTCATGACACTGTAAGCGCTATAAAATCTTTCCAGAAAGTGTTAATGCCTGAAATGGTACGCCTCATGGTGGGTAAGCTAGTCCTGATGAGAGAATTAGCAGGTCTATTACAGCTGCACGCCCTGACAGGACAATAGATAAATAAAAAGAGGCCGAGGGTAAGAAGCTGACAGTGAAATGCAGAATAGGTGGCAATGGTGGCAAGTCACCATTCCAGCTGCTGTATCACATGCATGAAGCCCATGTGGCATATTTGGGAGCCAGCCAGGTGGTGACACTTCAGTGTTTGTGTTTATCTGACTCTGAAGGCTTTGTACGCTCTGGGTTCTTTAACCCAAGTGACCCAGCGGTAGGATATTTTGACCACAGATAGTGGAGTGTGTGTGGGCTCTGCTCTTACACAAAGACACAGACGAGCACATTTCTGCCTGCTTAGAGACACACAGACTGTTCCTCTTTCAGTTACCCTCTCATCAATTTTATGCCTCTCCTCTGCTGACTTTTTCCTTCCTCTCTTTCCATTTCTACATCTCTAGTCCTCCTCCTTTATTTATTATTTCTCTCTGTTCGGCCTTCTTCCTGGCCTAGAAAGGTTGCCATGGAGACAGAAGCAGATTTGATGCAGAGACGAGAAATGAATTATACAGTCGGGGAAGCTGTCTTTGTGTATGTGTGTGTGTGCATGTACGCACATTAGCGTGATTCAGAGCTGAAGATCGTTGTTTTGGAGGTTTTCATATGTTATGATTAGCTGTAATATTTCTTATTGAATATGGATCTGAGTATATGTGAACGCATTTACGTGTGATTTTGTGTGCGTGCGGTTCCATGCGTTTTGTTTTTTTTGGGGTTTTTTTTTGGTTGGTCCACAATTTAATATGACATCATGTGTTATTTTTGGCTCAGCTCCAGCTACATGTGGGCTTCCTTCATTTGTGTGCAGCTGTAGTGTGTTTATACAGGAGACTCTGTAGCTTGCTTTAGGGGTTTTTTTTTATGTTGTTGTGAAAAGATCAGCCAAAAAACAAAAAGATCAACATATTTGATTATTAGTTATTTTCTCAAATAACAAACTGGCTGCCAAGAATGAACTGAATACTGTATCTGAGTAACTGATTGTAAAATGCATATTCAAAAACACATAGAGAACAGGTAAGGTAACATGAACTGCTGAACTGTGGATCAATGTAAATGGCTGGATTCCTGTGAAATTTGAATCTAGTAGAATGATCAAAACAATTACATAGAGAGATCATTGGATCAAAAAATATGCATAGCTCAAATGGCTGTTGCTGAAAAAAAAAAGTCAGCCATGTGTCTCATTTTCTCATATAATATTAGTGAGAATATCCAAAAGCAGAACACAGAGGGAGGCAGGGAAAGCAATAGAAAATGAGCATTTACTGTCAGATCAAACCCAGTCCAGAGTCCAGTCTGAAAAGGTAAACAAGAATCCATAAAGAAGCACCAAAAGAACAAGGAGCAAGGGAACAAACGGGAGAACAACAGGGAACAAACAGACGAGCCGACACACATTGATCGGTGTCTAGATGCAGGTGAAAACAGTGAACAGCGGACCATCTCGAAGGAGGGAAACAAAAGCAGGAAGTAAAACCAAAACAAGGCACACGAGAAAACTAACCTTCAAAGTAAAAATGGTAGAGGCAAATAACTAATGACAAGACATGAAGACAGCAACGCTGAACAAGGTGACAGAATCTGTGGGACTCACACAGAGGGAGAAAACAGTAAAACTAATAAAAACCACGGGCACTATGACACTCACCCTGTATGTATCATACACTTTATATCAATTTTGATTAATCAAAATGTTTTTGATGACATTATTGCGGATAATGTATGAAATTAGAGTTAGAAAGGAGGCCTGGCCAGCACGAATTGGATTGGTGAATCCCCCAGAATAGTCTTAATAGTCATCAGCTGCTTTGTTAGTAGCGGTTTTAATCATCAGAATGCTGTCTGCTAACTGAATGCATTTATTTTGGACTGCAGTGAATCTGTTTGCACTGGAAGTGATCATAACCCAGCGTTGTATTCAGCGTTTACTTTCTTATCTGCTGAGCTCCGTCTGACTGCACTTAAGTGTGCTCATTTAGGTAGAACAAAGCATTTTTAGCTCATGAAGTCAGTTCATTTCAGTTGAAAGTGGACTGAAGCAGAAACTAAACAGAGCGCAGTTTCTTTGAGGTGACCTCGTTAAGAACAGCTTGCTGTTCCTAAAAGGCAAAAAGATGTTCTAGTAACGTATTTGTATTCTCCCGTTTGGAGGTTGTTTGTGTTATCAGAACTAAGCTGGATAGTGTTTACTGTCTCTTATTTGATTTCTCAACTTTTGCCTTAAAGGAGGATCTCTGTCTGTTTCATATCCTAAGCTTATGCAATCTCCTGATAGGAGCAGCTGGTATTAAAACCAGGGAGATAAAACTCATGGAGAGAGGAAAGGAGGGATAAAAGGGAACTAAGGGACAGAATGGGTGTTGGGTGAGAAGAAGAGGATGTGTAAACAGGAGCTGAGGGAGGTGGTTGACTGTTTAAGCTGAGATCACATGGAGGATGGAGTGAGATGATGGGAGGCAGGGATGGGTGGGGAAATGATAACTGATGAAGTAGACAGTGGGTACATCACCGCACAAAGCACATTAAAGGGCTACTGTGCTTGTTTTTTATCACCACTCTGTTTTTCTTCTGTGTTTGCGGTTTTATGTCATGTATGTCATAAAGCTCTGAAACACACACGCAGACACACACACGGCGCAGACCCTGTTGTAAGAGGGGCTACTCAAAATCTAATGGGCTAGAATGAATTGCTGTAATAAGGGCCATAAATTTCTCTCTACAAATCTGTCTGGTGTTATTGTGCAGACAGCATCATCAATACAAAAGCATACAGTCGGGCACATGCATACAAGGGGAGGGCAGGAGCTTTTACAGGCTGAGTGAGGCTATAAAAGCATGGTGAGGAGGGGGGATGTCGGGGAAAAGGGGTCAGGAGTGACAAAACACAGAGTGGAGAAGATTTCTGTAACGGTGGTGGTGTTGGGCGGGCGACGGGTTAGTCGTAGCGTGAACATGGTTAAGGAGGACGTGGGCTTGAAATAAAGGAAAGTTGGGGGCCAGTAACCCCAGATATTGCAGCATATGTAATGTGTGAACATGGGTGCAGAGCTGCAGAAGGATCATATTATTTGCGGTCTGGTGACCCAATTATTGTTTGGGCTCCATGTGTGTGTGTGTGAGTGTGTGAATCATTCCTGGTAGTCCTGTGCTTGCCCGAGGCTTTAGGGTGACACCAAAGCCGAAAAGCCAAAGTGCTCAATGTCGCCTGTTGCTGGTTGAAAGAGCAACTGCACTCAGCAGTTCAACTGTCAGTGGGTAGTTCTGTATGATTTGAATTTAAAGGTTAAATTATGTGCTGTGTTTACATGTGGGATATCTTGTTTTCTGCCTCCTAGCGCTGGCATAGCCGTAGGATTCTATGGAAACGGAGAGTCGAGTGATGGAGCCGCGCGTTTAGCGTACTCCTTCCGTCATGCCAACCGCACCGTGTCTGGAGTGGAGAAACTGGTGAGTTGTCCACTGATTGCAAAAAATGTATTTATTTATTTATGGAAAACCTTCCTGATGACAGTTTTTTCTTTCTAGGTTTCAGACAGCGCCCTAGCCTTAAACCAGACTGTGGAGGAGAACTTGGTCCAGTTAGAGACAGCCTTCCAGGATCAGACAGATTATGTGTCCATCGTCCAGAAGCTCCAGGGACAGCTGGATGAGCTGGTGAGGCTGATGGTTGATGTTCCCTTCTGGTCCAATACTGAGATCTCCCTGGAGGACTTGGCCCGTAAAACGGAGGCCTTTGACTTTTACAGGTAACTACTGACCAGCATGGATTTTGTTTCTTACTCAGACTCAAGACTACTCTTACATTCTCTCATACACAAAGTGTTATACTGTAAGGTTAACTATTAAAACCACAGATGATGGACCATGTGTTCTGGTCATATCCTCAATCAAATCAAATAAGAATTTAAACATTTTAGGTGCACAACAGCAGAATTCAACAAATGTTAGCAAGAAAAGGCAAAATAACCAGTTCTAGTTCTAACCAGAATGAAGGCTACTCGCTTCCTCTGACAGACACATTGGATCAACAATGTCATGATGCACCTTTAAACGGAGAGGCTGAGATACATGCTAAAAGTAGCTCTTAAAAGCTATTCATGGATTATGTGGAGATTGTATCCTTCGCAGTAGTTTGTGAATGAATGGGTACTCTGATGTCATTCTTTAACTGTGAATGGCTTTCATCCCTCTTTTTCTGTTCATGTTAACCTGCTTTGTTGTTTTTGGGGCAATGACAGAAAAAGTGGTTGATAAAAAAAACTGATTGTGATGCTGTTACGTGTCGAGTCTTCTAGTAAAGCTTTAATTAGCTTGTCCTTTGCATTGCATATGTATCAGTTTGACTTGGTGTTGTATGTTTGTATGAAACACTGTGATAATGTATTTTTATTTACAGGTGGTTGGGGTACCTTGGCCTGTTGCTCTTTGATGTTCTCATTTGTCTTCTGGTGCTGTTTGGACTGATACGCAACTCTAGAGGCACTCTTATTGGGTATGCTACCTTACATCACACACCAAAGCCTGCTCCTATTGGACAGATCAAATTGTGTCCTGCCTCTGTGTGTGCTGAGACTGCCTCCTGTATAACGTGTTGGTAAGCTGAATCTTGCTTTAAAAAGATATTTTTTTTGGGGGGGGGGGTTGTTCTTCAGAGTGTGTCTGCTGGGTGTTCTGACTTTGATCATCAGCTGGGGATCGCTGGGCCTGGAGCTGGCTGTCGCTGCTGTAAGTGTAACCATGGCAACACTGCTGAGCTCTCCGGCTCTGCAGTGATGTAATCTTTACCCACTGCTCGAGTGAGTTTGTTCAGCACGTTACTGTAGCCTGATGTGTCATGTGCACTCGCCCCCCACAGTCAGCCAGCGACTTCTGCGTCTCCCCCGATACCTACATCACCAGGGTGACCAAGGAAAACGATGTCATTAACCAAGGTATGGAGACGAGAAAATAAATCATTGGCCTTTTTTCAAAACCTTTTGTGCTTCTTTCACATAATCATAAAATGAATTTAACAAATTGTATTGCGGTGTTGTTGGCTTTGAAATGATGGCTTTTAAGATGGGGACCAGGTCTGTGACCACTTGCAGTCAGTTGCCCTCTGTAAAGCAACTTTGGTGGATGAAACAGCAAGAAGTGCTGTTAACCTATGTGCCATCAGGTTGCGACTGGATGGAATCAAGTTGGAAATGAGGTCAAATCTGATAACAGCAATTAACTGATATATATCGACGCTAATTGGATATCTGTTGTTGTCTACATGCACAGAAATTTACTTACAGTCAGAGTCCAGCCAGAACCTCATAGATGTGATGTAGTTTCTTCAGGACAGTGAATTAACTGAAAAATGACAGGTTGTCTGTAACTTTGCTTTTATATAGAAATACAACCAGTGCAGTCGAATCTTCTGTTGGACAGAGATAATCACACACGAGTTACACTCATTGGCGCAGACTGACTCAGACTGTGAGCGTGTCTGTGTTTATGAATTATATTAATTTCACAGCTTTGCCAATCTGTCTGAGAGGGATTGCAGTCAGTCCAAGTTGGGTCACAATTCTTTGGAGACACACGACCTGTCGAGACCCATTGTGGTTGAAAGTAGTGCTGAGACACTTAGGATGTCGCATGCTTGACCTGTGGCAGGAAAAAACTAAAGAAAAAAAACTAAATTAAAAGCAATCATAAGGCAAGGAGGTTATTATCCTATTTCTGTTGTTGTGTGACTGATCCATAATCCACCTGTATTGACATTGGCTGTAGTGTGTCTAAACGGTGCTGGTAAGATACGCATGAAGTGCTACAGGGCTGAAACAGCCTTTTCCAGTCTTGCAGACCACTGCCATCTATTTCAAAGTCTGTAAATCTGTGTGCAGTCCAAACCTTAAACCACAACTGTGGTCATAAGACGAGCTCATGAAGTGTTTCTGTGTTTTCATTTACTCGTTTTTATCTTCTAACGATTTACTTGTTGAAGCTGATTCTCATTTAACACTTTTAGTTGCAGTATGCGATAGCCACATCTCCATTATGGTTTTTACATCATTAATGAAGTCTAAGGGAAGTTAACAATCAAAATATGTCAGATTTCCCCCCCCAAAAAAATTAAAATCTGGTGGCTTAGTGCAAATAGTGATATTTTTTTTCAAATTTATATTATTTATATATCACACATAATTATAGTTTATATTATAATTTTTCCCATTTGTTTATCATATGCAAATTTTTCCTGTCTACTTGCAGTTTCTTCACAGCCCCACCAGGGGTCTGTGGCCTACCATTTGGGAATCCCTGGATAAAAGAATATTTACAGTTATTTATGCTGCTTGAAGACAAAAGCATCCCACATTTTGTTTTGGTTTTCACCAAATAAAATATCAGAATTTAAAGAAAGGGTGCGACACTTTTGGATCCAGAAGTCCTGGAGAGGGGATTGTCATGTTTAGAAATTCTCTGTTAATTATAAATCCTGAACATTTTATGGTAAAGGGATGTAGGGTACGACCCTTTATATGCAAATGCAGCATATTGACAAATAGTGTGAGCAGAAATGTCTCAAACAGAGTCCATTTTCCTCACTGACAGTTGAAACTCACCCTGACATGTTGGTGCTATTTAAAGAAACAAGTGTGTGTGTTTGTGTGTGTGTGTATCCAGCAGGATTGTGTTTGATTGGCACTCTGGTATCTAAAAGCTCTCACTCTCTCTCTGTGCTCACTGCAATGCATCAGCAACCCTGTACTCCCTGCTCGCTCTGCCCTTGCTTGTCTCAGATTCAGAAAAACAACCCAACCTGACTACATTTCGTTTTTCATTTAATTGCATTTGTTCTCTCTTTCCATCCTGTTATATCCCTCTTTACTTCTCAGTTGCTCCGTTTCTTTGTCTCCATTTCTCTCCCTCGCTCGCCTCCTTTCACTCATCTAATGACTTCTGTTTGTCTGTCAGTTGTTTCCGCTTTGTCTGTTTGCTGTAGCGCACAGATGTTGCCTCTTTAACACACACACACTGAATTATGCCTGAGTGGAATTGCAATCATGGCTCAATAGAGTCATACTGGATATTATTTTACACGTGAGGTTTTTAAATGAAACTGTGCAGTCCAAACGTTCCCATCGTCATAGTGATCTGTATTTACTGGCATGTTCGCAGATATCCTGCAGTATTACCTGACCTGCAGCTCTGGACAGATTAACCCCTTTCAGCAGGTGAGGTCTTTGTCATTGCTGTTGCATCGTTGGAACACATTTTTCTGCAATTTCTTCCTTTCACGAGGCTGTTTTGCTTTGTTTTTTGGTTTTTTGCAGAGGCTGTCGGGGAGCCACAAAGCATTGGTGGAGATGCAGGATGATGTGGCAGAGTTACTGAGATCAGCAGCACGTGACTTTGCCAGCACCAAGGTGTGTCTGTGTGTCTAGATGTACATAAGAGCAGATATTTACAGTATATTTGAGCATACATGTGTAACCTTCGCTCTGCGTGTGCAGGGGAATCTCGAGCAAATCCAGTCTGTGCTGAATTCCACCGAGGTGGGCCTGCACCAGCTGACTGCTCTCGTCGACTGTCGCAGCCTGCACATGGTGAGTTACAGGGTGTGTTGTGGTAAAGATAACGTCCGTAATTGAAGCTTAAAGTAGACGTGTGCGGTGACTCTACGGCACGGCTGACGCTGTTTTACGCTGTGCAGTTACATTTCTGTTGAGATGCACACCAGATCATGACGCAGGCTTTCAGAGGTTATGGTGAAGTAGAAATCCCCTGCGACTTCTCTCCTCTCCTCGTGTGGTGGAAACATGCACAGTAGCTTTATTTTTTTCCCTTTGTGTGACTGTAAATAAGGAATTGATTCATTAAAGGACTACTTTAGGGCCAAAGCTCTCCTCTACTCACCTCTCCTCGTAGGACTACGTCCAAGCACTGACTGGCTTGTGTTATGATGGCGTGGAGGGTCTCATCTACCTGGTTCTCTTCTCCTTTGTCACTGCTCTGATGTTCTCCTCTATTGTGTGCAGTGTGCCGCACACCTGGCCTGGCAAGAGGTAACACACACCCACCCTCACATTCTCTCATTCACACACACACACACACACACACACACACACACACACACACACACACAC